AAATCGGCTGTGACCCGTAAGTAGGACCAATGACTGGAGGTCTGAACCATCCCTGAGTCTCGACCACTGGTCTCGGTGCCATAATCGGGACAGGCTCAGCCGCAACTCTCTCACGTCTACGTCCTAATATGCGTCCCTCACGTCTATTGCGAGGAACATCCACGATCAACTGAGGATCAGGCTGTGTCTGCACGGGGGGTGCCTCAGGTCCAGGCTCATCAACTCGTGAACTCTCACGAAACATCCCAATAATCCGGCCTATCTCCTCGTGGATATACTGTAGGCCAAATCGAGGAAACTCCTCCGCCGTTGTTGCATGATAAAGCATTTCAAGACCGTCAATCTGTATATTACGAAAAAAAATGTTAGAAATGTGAAACAAATGTAAAATAAGTACAAAACTCACCATGCGGCCTATCTTTGCTGCCCTCCGAGATATGTAGTGCTTTCCCCTCTCTCTGTACCACTCCATGTACGCATGATTAGGTGACATCAAACCATATAATGGAGGTGGCAGTACAATATGTTGAATCCTAGTATTCCATCGATCAATGTGAGCCCTCAGCTTACGTCTCCAGTTCTCTTCAACCTTCCCCCGTAGAGTATGATCATGTATTCCTCTCAACTTTCTAGATTTATCCGGGATGGGTTGATCAAGACCGAACTGTCGCATGCACCTATCCGGTTGACATGCCTCTACTGTGTGGAAGTAGATAATAGGTGTGGCAGCAAGCCACAGGTACTGCTGCTCTACAGTCACGTCAAGCCACTCATATTCGATATATGGCTGCCACACCACCTACAAACAAAATGTGAAACAATATATAGAGTTACAAAAAAAAAAAAAACCATAGAGAAATAACAACATCGTAAGTATCCAACACCTGACCTCATCTCTACAGAGTGTGTCCAATAGGGTGTCTTCCCCAAGGGAGAGACGCCTCACTGGGGCGTCACATGTGACGCCCAAAGGGGGCGTCTCATTGTGCAACAGACGTGTAATTTTTTACAAAACAGCATTAAATGCGTAATTATTTAATTTAAATGCATTATTTTAATTTTTTTGCCTCTCCTTCCCTCCAAACTCTCAAACAAATCTTAAAGTTGTTTAACATGACCAATAAATGTATGAACTGATTATGAGTGTTATAGACACTGTGTTTTTAAGATCAAAGATTATTAAATAAAGATAAATATGATCAAGAACATAGTAATAATTAATAAATGCAAAAGATTAGAGAGTTTTAATACTTGGGTGTGATTCTGACTTCTTTTTATGTTAATTTCAGGTTAAAAATGATGAATTATAATTGTGAAGATCATTGAAGTTAGAAGAGAATAAATCCAAGCCAAGAATTCAAGAAAAGCTTATTATTTTATGCTCGCTGGCTTGCTCGCTCGAGGACGTTGTTTTTCTCGCAATCTCTCGCTCTCAAGTTCGCTCTAGCAAGCACGTCAAGTGAGTGCATCAAATTTTCTCGTTGATCCTCAACGAGCCTGGTCCAAATTAAAAGCTCATTTTTTTTCTTTAAAAGAAAAGTGACTAGGGTTACAGAAAAAAGGGGATTCACGCGACAAAGAAGACTTCGAGGAGGCAAAGGATAGCTCTTAGAAAGGAGAAGAAATAAGAACAACTCAGGGCTTCACCGTGGATCATCTTTAAATTCGGTTTTATCATGCATTCTCTTTATCTTCCATCTATTGTTTTTGTTTCCATTAACATGCTAGGCTAATTTCTTTTATGTAGTTAGGGCGCAATGGAACCAATGGATTACTAAACACCGTTTAATCTTTCTTGTAATTAATATTTAAGATTTGAGTTATGCAATTAATTTGTTTATTGATGATTAGTTTGTTTATGACTCGTACACTCATAAATAAACACATAGAGTCTTGTATGTCAATAGGAATATTAATGGTATATTGATTCTGATTGATTACTTGCTGGTTTGTATGATGTAGGCATAAGCTTACGAATTCTATGACTTATGATTCTTGCTCTTAATGTTTGCTTTATAAAAAAAGGCTCTAAGGGAGTAGGGCTTTGGATAAAGTAAAAAACTAAAATCACTTAGGGATTAGGAGTTTAGTTAGTTTAGAAAGAATCGTTGATAACTTAATATTGAATGTTAATTGCAAGAAATGGTAAATTCATTAGGAAAACATAGGAAAAATCGAATTTCTAACTACGCTTTTGCATATTTGAATTCAACTTCTTCTTTTTTTGGAAATATTCCATCGGTTCATCGCTTCGCGATTAGTCCAATTCGGGGCGGGTCCAGGATTAAGGCTTTAAACCCCTTCCAAAGGTGGTACTGAGAATTCAACTTCTTGTTATTCTGTTCTTGTCTCCAATCTTGCATATTAGTTATTAATCTTGAAAATTGAAAATAAAAAAAATAATATTGTTTTTAAATTTTTGTTTTATTAATTCAAATCATATTCTCAAAAATCGTTTACGGTCAATCCAACTTTGGTTATATAAATAAATTATTACTTGATAAATCAATTCTCGTGAGGATCAACAACCTTATTTTTATCACTTTATTACTCGTACGACCGATGCACTTGCTTTTTTGACATCAACCGATCATAGAGAGATTTTCAAAGCCACCACAAGCTAGCAAGTTGAGAGACAGAAAGAAGAAAAAGTTCGCCCCCACCATTAGGAGAGGGGATCGGGAAGCAGATGCAAGTTGCAAGAAATAATCGGAATTTTGTCGTCCTTTGATTTTGATTGGTCCTGTTTGCATCCGTCTAAGTATATATTCCCTCATATTATTGCTTCTAAAATCTTTTTAACAAGATGCGACCCACATGTTGCCGACTTGTCATGAATATTTAATTTAACGATTAATAAAAATTCAAAGAAAATTTTTAAAGGCACTTATTTAGCCTTATATGGTTTATCTAGCAAGCTAGATACGGGATAAAATCCCGTCCTTCTATACGTACCCTAAACATTCATTTCCCTAGTTTCTCTCTCTCACACACATATATATATAACTATATACATATAACCGGAAAAAATGATATAAAATCTCTCCATAAAAAGAGTACTACAACAAAATCAACGTGTTTTCTTTGACTCAATTACACTCTTTTCTGAGAAGTGTATGCATGAGAAAACAGATAATTTGCATGTCAAAGAGAAGAGTTTATTTGTTTCTGTATTTATTTTTCTTTCTACAGATCATTTGCATGTCAAAGAAACACCATGGCAATTGTCATTAACTGTATATAGTTAGTTTGATCCCATGAACATGGTGGTTTAAATAATTTACATGTAACAATGAAATTACCTTGCAATCAATTATCCCAACTTCTACATACGGAGAGTAAGTGCCATATATATTTTATTTTTTTTTGTAAGTGTTAGGATATTCAAGTGTGATGAGTTTCATATTGGTCAGTAATAGGCTAAGTCAAGTGTATATAAATGAAAGGATTCAAAAATTTAATGTCTTAAAGTTTTTGGTTGAGATATAGTGTCGGACCCACTTATTATGGTTGGCTTATCTTAGCCCATTGGTGGTGGTCTCCCGCCACCGACTCTTCCCAGATCTGCCTGACATAAGTTTTTCTAAATATATTTATTAATATTAGCGTTCCCTTTCCATGTTTGGCGCATTATGATTATATTATCGTCATCAGAGGAAACTCATAGGAATGGGACTTTCTCAACCCTTGTTGTCTCGTTATCTGAAGTGACTGTCTCTTCCTGCCATAGTAATCAATAATAGAAGTCTTGATCATGCTAAGTTTTTCTATGTATAGATATGCAAGCTGGAAAGCTTGAGATACCGGCAGAATTCAGGTTTCTACAACATTTATATATGGGTTTGTCTACTCTCATGTTGGAGGAGAGAGCATATCTCATGCTAAGACACAAAATGATGGGACCCACCACTAAAAAAAAGAAAAGAAAAGAAAATAGCAGTACATTTATCGAAGTGTCTATGACATAAGATAGTAGTCTTCTACAACATGAGACTACTATTTCCCTTTATATACTCTAGTTAATAGTTATAAGAGTTTATGTCCAATATAAGCAGTTTTTTTGCAGTTTTCTAACTATGTATCATCTCTAGTCCCCGGATTAGATGTAAATAAAGTTTAATAAACTAATGAACTGTTTTTCGTTTTATGAAATAAATCATGCAAGAAAGCTTGGATTTCATGTATATTTAGCATTTTTCTTGATTATTAGAACACAAATAAAATTTAAATCCACGAAATATGCTTCAATTGATCAATAGTTCTAATTGCCTTTTGAATTTGTTAAAGCAGTGGCACCACTGCCCACTGCATTATAATGCTAGCTATATGTCATAATAATACACCAATATTTAGCTAGGTATATTCATGTTGTATATATAAAGGGACCTAAGTTTCCATTTAAACCATCAATTTTGCTTTGTTCTTTGTCAACAAGACTTTGGAAACAAACTACCACTACAGTAAAGTATTTTACGCTCTTCATTCAAATCTTAATTAAGGAAAAGGACACCCATTTGGTATACAGGCAAAGCTTTTCTCCCATCAATTTGAATTATTAAATGTACTAAATAAGAGGTCATTGAAGTTTTTCAGGAGTTGGGTCCCAATTTCTCTTTCCACACTTTTTTTCACATCAAATTCAAGTCCACCCACCAAAACAAAGTAATCAATTCTTGCACCTAGCTACGTTGCTTATTTATCTCCAAAGAGTAAAGAACAAAACCGCGCTAGCGGCTATTGCTGCAACCCTTCCAAGATAAATTAAAGAAGATCAAATCAATCAAGCTTAAGCATGCACATTCCTAAACCAACTTAAATTCCTATCACTACCTAAATTCCAGTCATTTCCATCCATTTCCCTATTATCTTTTTCTTTTTTTCTTCTTTCTTTTTTTCGGTGTAAACAACTTGACCAAATGTATGAGGATGTACACATTCAAATTGAACAAAGTTAAAATTTTAAGGAAAGGTTAATTAATCAATGATCAGGTTCAGTCACATAAACTAACTATATATATGATATTTATAGACAAGCAATTAATATATGTCACATATGGTCCATAATTAACAATTAAAAACAATTAACAATCTAACTAATACATACCCTGATAGATAGAATGATAAACTTGACCTTTCTGATGAAACATAATTACACTGCATCACCAAAGCAGAGCCGAATTAAGGTTCTCTATCATCTGAGGCGTGAAAGCATCATCAAATGGCTCAAAACCCTCGATTATTGAAGATCCTCCAAAAGGTTGTTGTTGTTGTTGCCCTTGAGAAATGTTAGGATTATTATCCACTGGCGGAGGAGGCACCACAAGTGTGTGAACATTTTCATCATGCCCAATCTTCTTCATCAAACAATCATCAGAATCCACCACCTGATACCAACCGTCTCCTCCGCCGCCGCCGCCGCCTTCATCGCTGCCGTGGTCCTGGAACCTTGAAGGGTCCGGCGGCGATTCAGCATCCTGGCCGGTGAGTTCTTGCACCAAAGCCCTGAACCCTGAGGCACTGATCTTAACCTTCATGGGGTTTGATATGTACACTACCTTTATGGGCTTAGTGTTGTTCTTCTTCTTGGGTTTGCCTCTTTTTGTTTGTGTCCTTTGTTGCACACTGCTCATCACTGAGTTGTTGATGGTGTCCATGTTCTTAATTTGAAAACAGATAACAACGTACGACTCGGTGCGCTACCGCTAAAGATAACAACTATACATAGAAAAAAAAAACACAAAAGGGTCTTTGATTTCCGGGAAAAGGAGAGAAAATGAAGGAAAATGATTATAGGATATGGGGCAAATGAGAAGGTCATATAGGAAGGGAAGGTGAGGAATGGTGATAGCGTGATACCCTTCCCAGCCGACACTTAGGCGCGTGTGTACTTTTTTTTCCACTTGCAGATAAGAATTGAATGGGTTGCGACTTGAAATGATTGGGCTAAAATGACCCTCTTTTAAACTTGTTGTAAAATAAATAGTTTGCCATATTTAGTATTAACTCAACTCACATAATTGAGTTTTTTTTTTACGTATATAAGGAAGAAAAAATTAGTATTGATCATCATTCATTAAGATGTAATATATTTAAATAAGTAATGTGATATTCACTCAACAATTTAACTTTTTTGGCTGAATTGATTGGTTTATGTGGTAATTGAAGTATTTGTGAACAAATAATCATAAGTTTGATGTTATCATTCTCGTTATCTAATAAAAAATCCAAAAAAAAAAAAAAAAAAAATTCTTTGTGTGATGAACCTATAAATTATCCATATTTCAATCCCTTAAAAAGGTTCTTGATATGGTGGATTTGTGTGCATAGTTGATGTTTCAATCCCATAATCATCTTGCATATAGAATGTGTTAGAAATATAATATATGGAACCATTAATGTGACCTTTATCCAAATGATTTAATTTTTTAGCTGATTGTTTTACACCCAACTCATAGAAAATATAAATTAATAAGTTTTCCTAAAAAATCAACAACAAATTATTAAGAAATTAATAAGTTTAATTGAAAAAAAAAAGTAGTTGACAGTTAAATGAAAAAGTCGGTCCATACCCTCTTTATAAAGATAATGAACATGGTCATTTAATTCACAATACTATGTAAATAAACAAACTAAGGTTTAACTCATTTTTTGCATCCAATTTGAAATATTCACAATGATTGTGATCGACACCAGAAATAAGAATCACACGAGTCCACTAAATTAAGGGAAGAGCAAATGGTAAGATCAAACCTGAAGTAATCCTTGACTCAAAATAAACACATAGGATGTGCATACATACGATCTCGTGGATCGTCTAGTTGTCCAAAGCTAGTCACCACCTCACACAGCTAATAATTGAATAATACAGACAACCTTCTAGTTAAGGCTCAGCAATATACCTCACCGAAAGGCATCCTGTGTAGAGTGGAAGGTTATGAAGGTTATCTAAATGAACTAATCAAAAGGCATATCAATCAAACCACCACATAAGGGCTGCTAGTTGAGCCCATAAGCACATCATACCGCACACTATAAATAAAGAGAAAAGATTCAGGTATATTCATATCTTCCATATTGCTTAAGTTCATTTACTCATATATTGACTTAAGCATCACAATGTCTTGTAGGTGCTTATACTCGCTCTTGTTCTAATCAAATCAACGACTCGCGACATCCAGATTTCATCATGCGACAATGTCCACACAAGAGCCAATGATCCTTCCTAGAAAGAGTAAGCTCCAACACCAATAACCACTAATTTAAATTAGACACGACCGCATGTAAATAAGTCGGTTCCTTCTAATCTGATCAAAGTGGTAATTAATTTAAAATTTGTTAAATAATAATTTAAGCTTAACTTGACTTCTATAATTATGTCATTTACATTTTTATATTTTTATTATATTAAAAGGAATAATACACTCTTCACACATAAAATTTTATCCCCAAATAAAAGGAGTTGATTGGCTTATTTGGGTCTAATTTTGGTAAGTAATCAATATGTAACTTATCAGTGGGGGGAAAAGTAGAACACCTTCGAGGTGTTATGCACGCGCGGCTAGGGGTGAAGAAATGTGAGCAACGCATCAATAATGATTCCACGTGGCGCGCAAAGAAGGGACTGGTTAGATCGATGACGTCATGAGAGAGAGGCAAGGTGTCGTCACCGCCCTCAAGTTGCCGACAACAAAGCTAAGGCTCGGCTTGGAGAAAATGAAATGGTCCAATTCCCAAGTTGGCTGGGTTGTGCTTGTGCCATCAACTTTATGAGTGAATTATCCTCTTCCTTCATTTTCGATTTCTCCATCTATTTAACTCTCTTTTCTTTCACTTTCTTTATATTCCAGTTTTCCAACACATCTTGTACCCAAAAAAAATACAAAAAAATCATCCAGAATAACTTTTTATATATCTTACGAGTTTCTTTTACAGATTTTATTTAGATTTGATATTTTTCTTTTTAAAGATATAAAGTTGTATTATTCTAAATGAGAGAAAGATATAAACAATGAAAATTATAAGAGAAGAAAATGAGTATTTTTTTAATTTAAATTTTAAATAAAAAATATTAATTTCTTTCTTTCTCTTATTTAAAATGACACAATTTTATGTCATTTAAAAGGCAAAATATTTTTTCATTTATTTATTTAATTTTGGTTCATATGGCGTATTGTATTAAGGCTCTTGTATTTTTTTATTTTTTTATTTGGGCTCTTGTATTTCTTTTCTTTCTTTTTTCCTCGGTAAATTAACTGGGCTCTTGTATTTCTATAAGCTTATTCACATGTTAAGATCTTAATATTATATAAAATATTAAACTATTAAATTTATGAATACTTGTAACTTGAGGATTTCGTTTCAAGATAATTGATTACTAACATATTATCACAAAATTCATAATTAATTGAACATGTTTGGTATTTTCATAGCCTTTTTTATTAATTTAAGGCTATACAATAACGATTCTTTTTACAAATTTTACTTTATTATATTTATTTATTTTAAAACAAAAACTTGATATTCAAACCAAAAAGAAATTTTCTATACACTTTTTTTCATCTTGTCGGTATAAAATGAATTATTAATATTGTGGGAATATGTTAGAAATTAAGTTTAAGGTTTATTTTGGTTTCTTATAGTTTTTGCTCATTCGGATTTTAATTCTTATATATTAACTCATGGTTATTTCTTGAGGAAAGACAAAATTGCCTTGAACACATGACTGGTCACATGCATTGCCCAGTTTGTTTTGAAATTCCAACCTTTGAAACCCAAATATTTAAATTCGGTGAAATTTCAAGACTTCTGAACAACGTGGTGAGGTCTCTGAGAAAGTCAAACAATTTTAAGCTTCAGAGATAAACCACATATATATTACCAAATACAATTACAAAAGATCTACGTTTTTCAATTGCACGTGCATTGACTCTTGAATAAAAAATTGTAGAAAAATCATATGATGTTACGTCTTTTCAATTAGTACCCCTTCAAAACAACATTACTAGAAAGAGAACTTCTTACATGGAGGAAGAATTATCTCAACTCGTTGGATTTAACAGTAAAATAAAAAATAAGTAGTAGGGTAAAAATTTAGGGGGAAGGCAGAAAATGTTGTCTCTGAGATAAAACCAAAGAGAGAGAATGCATATTTATTTGAGAGAGAGAAAAATATGATGAGGTTCACTCCAAATTATCTCTGTGTGAGATATAATCTTCTCTGTCTTTAAAGTAGAAATATTTTTCCCAAAAACTAATTCTATCTTGAATCAAGAAAAATTCTTTTCCTATCAAAATGTAAAGCACTACTAAAAAATGTAATTTTTTCGACGGAAAAATTCAGTCGAAAATGAAGTTTTCGACAAAAATAAAGTCGTCGAATATCTCTTCGTTGGTAACAATTTTTTCGACGGAATTAGAGATTACGTAGAAAATTTCCGGCAGAATTAATTTCCGTAGATAATTTTCGACGGAATAATTTATGTGGAAAGTTTCGACAGAAAAATAATTTCGTCGAAATTATTTGACAGAAAATGAACGAAATTTTATCAAAAAATCTTGTATTAATTTTCGAAGAAAAACAAATTTCGTCGAAATTTTTCGACGAAAAATGAATGAAATTTCGTCGAAAAATATTGTATTAATTTTTGACAAAAAACAAATTCCGTCAAAACTTTTCGACGAAAAATGAATGAAATTCCGTTGAAAAATATTGCAAAAATTTTTTACGGAAAACAAATTCTGCCGAAATTTTTCAACGGTAAATGAATGAAATTCCGTCGAAAAATCTTGTATTAATTTTCGACGAAAAACAAATTATGTCAAAAAATATTGTAATAATTTTCGACGCAAAATAAATTCCGTCAAAAAATTTCGATGAAAAATGAATGAAATTCCGTCGAAAACTGTTGCCTCAATTTTTTACGAAATTGTTTTTTCGTCGAATTTTTTATTTATTTCTCTCTACAAAATTAATAACAATTTATGTTTTGCACCTAATAAAAAAATATAGTGAAAGTAAATAGCATATCAAAATCATATGATCTTAATATAATTATATGTACAAAAGTCTCTGTTATATACTAATGAAAAGAGTCTTATATATACAAAAGTCTTTGTCATATACTAATCAAAAAAGTATCATATGTATAAATGTCCAAGATATATACTAATCAAAAGGGACATACATATACAAAAGTCTCTGCCATATAGTAATCAAAAGAGTCTTATATATGTAAATGTTCAAGACATATACTAATCAAAAGAGATATACATATACAAAAGTCCTTGTCATATTCTAGTCAAAAGATACTTATATATAAATGTCCAACACATATACTAATCAAAAGGGACATACATATACAAAAGTCTTTGTCATATACTAATCAAAAGAGTCCTGCATCTATAAATGTCTATGACATATACTAATCAAAAGGGACATACATATATAAAAGTCTCTGTCATATACTAATCAAAATAGTCTTATATCTATAAATGTCCAAGACATATACTAATCAAAAGGGACATACATATACAAAAGTCTCTGTCATATACTAATCAAAAGAGTCTATGTACAATAGTCCATGTCATATACATCCGTACAAGGTACAAAAGTCATGCTGGTGGATGACCTGCATGATAATGGTCATCACCAAGGTCCTGAGACGGGGGCTAAGTCTCGTCGTCATCCTCAGTATCTAATGATGCCTCAGGAATCCTTCGCATAAGCGTCTCCATTTTTTCCATCGCCTCTGTATCATAGCCATTAGACTATCCTGTTGCTCAACCTTTTT